CATATGTTTAGGTTGGTAACACTATAGGTATGCCAAATACAGAAATCTTCTATTATTTTTCATCGCGAATGACAGTTAGATGGCCATCAGTCAGCCAGTGTTACCAACCTTCGATAAGTAAAAAAGGAGTGTCACAAAGAGCTTCTTTTCGAAACTACTTTTAGTGTCGAAAATACTTCGATATGACACCAAAATAGAAAAAAATTATTTTGTTTCTTAGAATCAACCAGCGGCGTACCGCGAAAAAGTTCAGGAGCAGAAAAGGAGGCATGACCCCTGAAAAAACATCACCCTGTAGATTCTGGCAAACGCTTGACATGTGCAATCATCCAGCTCCTATTGCGTAATCTTTATTCCAAATTTGAGCCAAATCCCTCAAAAATTGCAGGAGCTAGGTATAACGAAAAAGCTAAAAAAAATATTGAAATTTCAACACCCTGTAGATCGGTAACGAAGCGTTTGCGGACCTATACATCTTTTCACGTCGCTCCGGTTTAAAGTAACCAGGGGGCGGATTACGAACTCTCGATTCGAACCGAAACCGCCATGGATTTCGAACGCACTCCCGCGTTCGAAATCTATGGCGGTTTCGGTTCGAATCGAGAGTTCGTAATCCGCCCCCAGGTTACAAAACGGTTAGAGGCGGTATGTCAAGTGATGACATTACTGAAAATGCCACTTGAAAACGAATGGTTAGAAAAATGTTATTTTAAATTCGATATGAGGTTGGGTTGGTCAGTGCCGTTAATTCTGATCCCTGACCTACCTATTATGTCTACTATGGACAAAACTATCTTAAATGTGAGCAATTTAGGTACAATTAATTAAATGTGAAGAAATATGGGAAGCAAGTTTTTTTTTCAAAATTGTAGAATTATCGAGTATTTCATTCTTTTTTATTACCACAAGCTAAAAAGTGAAAAGTAGGTAGTTTAATTTCTTTTCGTTCAATGCTTTAGATGTGGACCATGGGTGGATAGACTACTAGAACCAGTCTATCTAAAGTTTATAAGTTCTCGTTACCTACAGTCTACAACAGCCTATCGAGTAGGTAAACTGGGATTGTCTCGTCTCTGGTACATATTTTGAGTATAATACAGGGTGATTTACGTAGTCCGTGCTTCAGCAGATAGATTAGGGCCGGTTTCCCAATAGCAAAGATTATAACAAGGCACCCCCTGGTTAAGATAACTCCAGGGTAAACATAGCAACTGCAACTGCACACGCTTACCCTGGAGCTAAAAATAAAACCAACCAAGAGGTGACCCGCTATTATGTGCCCGCTAGGGAGAAACCGGCCCTAGGTACGTGGTATTTATTTATGCTAATCCACCTGCAAACTGAACAATTTCTAATGCACGGGCCTCGTAAATCAGGCTATATACAAAGAAAAACGGCTTTCGGGCTTCAAATTCATAAAATATAATATTATATACAAAACGCAACTTTTTATTAACTTTTTACACTTTTCCGAACTTTCCCGCTCTCCGTTGTTTATATTTTTTTCTTCTAACCGCTCGACGTAACCATATCGCCGAGGCAGTTAGAGAAATGACAAACCGTTTTCTAACCCGGTTACAAAGTGACATCTTCGATGCCACTCGAATTTGAACGGTATGTTGCGGTTTGTTAAACCGGAGCCACGTGAAAAGGATTTATGTTTATTAGAAATTTTAGTCATGAAATAATCCAAAGAATCACCCCCTTTCGTTAGTACATGATATTTAGGAACACCCTGTATATTTAACAAAGTGATACATGAAGATTGCTTACGGTCCGGGATGTGCGTCTACACGTAGACTTTCATTGTCTACTTTACGTGTAGACAATTGTAGACAATGTAGACAATGTAGACAATGTAGACAATGTAGACAACGTGTCAACAATGTGTAAAATAATATAAATGACGTCTAATTCTAACCTCACACTTTCCTTTCCGAATATTATTTTTATTTTATTATCGGTTTTCCTCATATTTATAATCAGTGAATGCTGATATCAAAGTTAGCTACTTAGGTAGTAGTAATTTTGGATCTTTTTTTTAAATTTTCTAAAATGAGTTTATTGTTTACGCCACATGTAGACAATGTGTAGACAAATGCCCACGTAAACAATTCGAATTGTCTACGCGTAGACAATCAATTGTTTACGTTGACATTGTCTACAGGCACATCACTCCTTACGGTGTGATTCATGTCTTCGGTGTAAACATAAAGTGAGCTGTTCAGTAACAAAGCTGCCTTCTAGTGAGAAAGCCTGGTTTTGCATGCAGTGCAGAAGGAACTAAATCACACCTCTTAAGCCTAGTTCTCATGATGCGGAATTCCGGATTGCGGGTGCGGAATTTTTGAAATAATTCCGTTGGCAGGAAAACGTCAACTTTTTTGCGGATCCGCAATAAAGTTGAACCATTTTCAACTTTCTTGCGATTTTTTTTTCTGTCTTTGTCTAAACATTTCTCATCTTTGTTTGATTTCTACATAAACAAATAAACTAACCTCAAACAAAAAACAATAAAACAATTAATACCTAACAAAAATAAATTTATCTGCTTGCTTCTGTGCTTGTTTTATTTTCAAATACATATTATTACGGCAAATCCCTTGTTCATGTCTTTTCAGAAGAATATTTCTGAACAACATCTTCCTTTTTTTAATATTCCTCTGCTATTCTGCTTCTTTGATGAAGTTTCATGCATATTATGGATTAATAGCAAACCCAATACTAACGTACATTGGGTGGTAGTCTGAATAAAAACGAAGTAAAGTAAGTATTTTTTTTAAAGATAATTCCCCAAGTCAAAAATTTAGTAACTTTGTTGGCAACACAAGCCTTTTCTTTTCTGCACAAAAAATTTGAAAGCATTGACAATTTTACATTGTATTACCAACATAATGTCATTTTGACTTTTATCTTTAAAAAAAAAACAGATTTTACTTGCTACTTCTACAGGTAGTAGTATATTCTACGAAGTATTTACTTCACAACAAAGGATTAAGGATTTACTAATTTCCGGTAGTTCCGAAATGTAGTATCTACTTCATTTTAAAGTAAACACTACGAAGAATATACTACTACTTGTCGTAGTAGCAGATACTTTGTTTTTTTTCATACCTCCCTCTGTCTTTTCCAGATAATAATTTAATTGTGCAATATAATTATCCATCCAGGCACACAGGAAAACAAAAACAAAAAATATGTTAGGTTAAGATCATATGTATTTGACATAAAACCGCATCCGGAATTCCGTTTCATGTGAACCATCAAAAATTACGATTTTCAAAAAACTGCGATTTCCGGACCCGCAATGCGGAATCCCGCACCATGAGAACTAGGCTTTACCCTTTCAACCCTTAAAATTAAGAAATATTTATTTTTAATTATGTAATATTTTTAAAAAATAAAAAGGTACTTCGTTTTGTTTTTTGTACTTTTCTGTTTGAAATTGCACCAACCAAATATTTTCGAGTAAACTTTATTAGCTATTCTACATAAAAAGGATTAGAGGATCCATTTTTTCTAGTATAAATCCTTGAAAATACAAACATTTTATCAATTTTATTGCAATGTTATAATAGGGACCATTTGCACCGCTTATTTCGCTACAATTTTACTTTATCGCTTATTTGGCGCGTGCGCAGTTGATGGGAAATAGCGTTTTGCCTTATTAAGCGATTAAGTTCAACGTTCAACGTTACCTACGGCTGATTTGCGTTCACGTTAGCAACTTTTAAAGTCTAGACGATGTTGCCGGTAGTAAAATGCTAAGTTTCTAAAATGCGAACTTTTCATGGTTTTCATCTACAAAAATGTATGTTTTCTTTTATTTAATTGTATTAAAAATGTTTGCTTTTGACTATTATTGTTTTGACTACATTATTTTAGTCTAGTCTGATGAGTTCCAAATGCATTGACAACACCGATTGGGATGGGGTTTGGTGGTTCGTTTAAAAAAATATCCCGCAACACAATACCCCTTATTATATTATGATCAACCCCAAGGTGCCTCCGGCGTCTCAAATAAGCGTCTAGTACATTTTCCATTGCAACAAAAAACTTTTACAGAAAACAACAAACAACAAGATTTATAACCTAACTTTTTAACGTATTGTCAACACCATTGAAATCTGCGGGTGGCGTCATCACTATAAGCTCTTGATAGTGACGTCACTCGCAGGCCCAGATTTGGATGCAGAGGGAGTTAGGAGAGTATGACGCGATTGACACATCACAACCCAGCATAATCAGATTTTGCTTGATTATCCTCGCGAAAAATTGCTTATTATTTGATTTGTTGCAACGTAATTCGAATTTAATTTCTTTCAAAAACTAATCCGCTATCCGCTTACTAAAGATTTGCATTATTAAGGTTTTGTCAGTATTTTGTGCATTCGTGGGAATTTTTTTTCAAGAAGGGAATTTTCGGACTCGCTTGTGGGAAATTTGATTTTCGAAAGTTGGCAACACTGTTGCTACAATCCATGAGGCTCTACAAACGGTGAGTTCGGCTATTCAGCGCGGAGTTGGAGTGGAGTGAACAGAGCTAATGGAGTCACCTCTAATACCGTAAAAAGCAATACCCGAACCTTAACCCGAACGGCTGGAGTGCGAATGAAGTCACTCCGAGTGGACGGAGTGAGCAAGCCGAACTCACCCAAAGTACAGACAAATCGTTTTTCGCCGTTAAAAACCTGTGTTATGTCTCTGCAGGAACGGCATGAAACGAGACTTTCTCCTACAACTAAGTATAATACATAACGTATGCATTTTACAAAAAATCGACACTTTACAGACTTGGCAAAAATCAAAAATCGTAATAAAACGTTGTGTATGGCCAAGCGTGTATGACATCGGCCTCCATTTTGAATTTCTTTTTGACAGGTCATTGGATTGCTCTCTTTGACATTTTGACAGTGGACCTAACCCAAATTGGCGTTGTCCCGTTGTCGTTGTCAGTTGTTTTGTTAGTTTATTTGAAAATTTGTTTCCAAATTCCAAGCGATCAAGCCACTAGTTTGTCATCTTTGCCTTTCGCGGTATTTAACGTATCTACTTAACTGAGACGATCTTAACTGTTATATATAATTGAAATAATTACTAATAGGCTGCTGCTCCTTGATATTATATTGCCTTTGTGAATAGGAAAAAAATTGGGTTCGCCAGATTCAATATAATTTTTCTATTAAATAATAAGTTTTCAGTATGCACCACCACAAGTAAGATTCCTATTTTTTCTAAATTGCTCATGTAGTTTTGCTAATTAAATAACAATTTTTCAGTATGACCCACCACAGACCAGCAAGTCCCACATCAAGGCAAGGAAATGAAATGGCTGCTACAAGTTTAAGAGATCTTCAAGCTGGCACTCATGGCAGTGGCTTTTCGGATCCAGCACAAAGACTACGTTTACTGTGCTTATCTAGAGGAGCCCAAGGTATCTTGGGCTTAGGTAGGGTGTTTCGTAGGATGGACAAGGATGGTAAAAAGGATTTGAGCTTGGAAGAGTTTTCTTTGGGCCTTAAGGAAATGCAACTGCAGATTAGTGACGAGGAAATTCAAGAGATGTTTGATAACTGTGATATTGATGGCACCGGGACCATTAATATCGACGAGTTCTTGTTTCAAATTAGGGTAAGAAACATTTTTGGTTTAGTTAGTATTTCAGTCTCGTCTTGGGTCATTTAACTATTTCTTTTTCTTTGAGTAGGCAGGTACACTTGTAGCATAGCTTTGCTAAAACACAGGCCTCTCTTTGACCTAACTCATAATTTCTATTGAATAATTTTCAAAAATTGATGCCGACATATTAAATTAAACTTGGTTATGTTTTCAGCCTCCTCTAAGTGATGCCAGGAAAAATATCATTAAAGAAGCGTTTGATAAAATGGATAAAGCACACGAAGGTGAAATTACTATTGGAGCTTTGAAAAGGGTCTACAATGTAGACTCTCAACCGAGATATATTTCTGGAGAAGATTCCAGAGAAGATATTTTGGACAAACTTTTGGACAATTTTGATCATGATGCTACTAGAGATGGAAAGGTAAAGACAAGTGCGATTTTTTTTAAAGATAAAAGTAAAAATGACATTATGTTGGCAATACAATGTAAAATTGTCAATGATTTCAAATTTTTTAAGTAGAAAAGGCTTGTATTGCCAACATAGTTACTAAATTTTTGACTTGGGGAATTATATTTAAAGAAAAAACAGAATTTAATGGATAGAGATCGTTATTTCTATCTCTATATTCTCTATGGCACTTGCTGTCTTCTTCTCTCTTTTCAGAATCAATAGAAAAGGGACGTCAATAGAGATAGAGAAAAAATCTCTATTCGTTACATGGTCCCAGGAGGGCTGAAAAATGATCTGTAAATGTTTCCGTATCATAGGTCCTATTATGATAATTGATTGTTCAAAAACTAGGGGTTTTAATTTGTCTTTGCTTTGAGTAACTAGTCCCCAATTCACATCAGCCTGTGGCTTCTATTGTTTGAATGAACCACCCTGTGTTCACCAAATAAAATAAATAGAATTTTCAATTTTTGAAAAATTGGCAATACACTTAATTACTAGAGAGGATTACCATTAGTTTTCAGTGGCGGATTTACGATTTATGGGGCCCTACGCTACATCATTTTTGGGGCCCCTACCCCTATTTTTTTTAAATACAAAGGACAAAATTTTCATTTTAAAATTTATTGATAAATTAAAACAAAATCAAAACGAAGTTTTATTAGTACCACAGAAAAAATTCATGACAGTGAAAAAACTAAAAACTAGGTAGTAGTAGGGATTAGTGATGGTAAATTCCCAGAAATTTATTTTTTGGGAATATTCCTGAGAATGTTTCCAAAATGGGAATTTTCTGTTTTAAGTGAAAACCCCTATTTATATGAGTAGAGTTGTAGAGTATGTGTGAAGAGTGCAATAAAACAACTATTTGGTGATAAGTCAACAGCTGTATCTATTCCAAAGCTGAAAAAAATGAAACAAACGATCATTGAATAAATACAAAATTCAGAAACATAGCAAATATTACTAAACCAAGCTCTAAAAAGTTTATAGTCAGAGAAAAAAAAACTGATGAACACATGCTCTCAATGTAGGTACCTATACAAAAAAAAAGGAAAAATAAATTAAGCTTCTATACCAATAATTAGGTATTGTGTAAAAAAATAATTCACAAATTCTGTTACAAGTATGTCATCGTCGTTCCGTTCAGATCCAAAGGAATCACTACTCAAACTCTCAATTTCTTGTTGTTTGTTGTTCACACTCACCAAATAGTGCAGTTTTAATATCCAGAGTCCACACAAAATCAAAATAAAAATTCCAGCGCCACCAGCGTGAATAAACTCATATAGAAATTAAATTCCCTGTAACGGAAATTTATTTAACCTTGGAGGAATATTCTCGGAAAAATTCCCATTTTAGAAAATTTCCAAATTGGGAATATTCCCTTTGTTCATCACTAGTAGGGATATAAAACATGAACATATAGCCATGTGGGAAACAACTAGAAAACACAAAAACATGTTTGAAGCCTTGCACGCTAGTGGAGTTCTTCTTCAAGGTCTTCATTGTTGTAATATTCTATGAGTATTTCAAAGTTCTCCGCATCAATATCGTTATGTGATTTGAGATATCTTGTATATCAATTTAAACATTTATTTTAAATTTAACTGTTATATCTTGACAAACAGAACTTTGACAATGCAAGTCGCCTATCGAAAAATCTAACAGCCTGTCAATAATCTCAACTCTAAATTTTGCTTTTTCTTTAGCATTTACTGGATTCAACAATTTTTTTTTCAATATCTTCGCTTATCTCTTTGGCATTTGTTTCCAGTTTGTCGGTTTCTGATTCAGATTTTTTTCTGATGTAAAATTGTTTCAAATAATGCAATAAACAGTATCCTTCTTGTACATCCAAACCAAGCGATTGCAATTTGGTAGAAACCTTATTGAAACGCTCTAGAACTTGTTCCCAAATTAATGTTAACATAGCAATTACCATTGAATATCGAATATATTCGTTCTTGTCTCGTAAATACGGTAAAGTGTATATATGTTTAGAGTAGGTTGCAAAAAAAACAAAGAATATTGCATAGGTACAGTGGAAATCATTGCAATTGGCACACACTATATAAATATCCCTCGTAATGTGTAAAATCTCTGACACACAGTAATAGCAAAATCACAGCATATACAAAAACAATCAGCAGGCTAACTCTCACGCGCATCTTTTCTGCGCACGCCGCCATTAGGGGATACCATCCTGTCATTAATCGGCAGGGACGCCAACATTTTAATTTATTTGTTTATTTCTGAGGGAGTTCATAGGCGTGCGGTGTAGAGCGGAATTTTAGTTATGATTTTCAAAGTTATTTTAGTATATTTGTGTTGTCATTTATGGTGTTATCAGTTATCATTCTTGTATGTTTAAAAATAATAATAAATTAGTAAGCATAAATATTATTATGTGTAAGTAATATTAAATTAATTAAAGCCAATACGACTCTGTGACCCGAAAGAAAAAACCTAAATTATTGTTAATCAGGTCTCGTATCTCAAAATGGCCGCTAGTGACATCCCGACCATGAATTCTTTTATTAATGCTTTATTACACGGGCTGTCACTCAAGTTAGCCTGCTGATTTTTTTTGTATAAAATATATGCTGTGGCAAAATGCTGCATTAAATAGTTGTATTGGTTAGAATTTTGACTTAATACGAGGGATTTTAAAGAATGTGTGCCAATTGTAACGATTCCGACTGTACTCCATGTCATACAAATGGTATACTCATAACAAACCATAATTATTCCTAAGGATAGCACAACCACCAAAAAAAATAAAATAAAAGTAACGTTGTAAAAACCAACAAAAAAACGAAAAACCAAAAAAGTAAGCACTGTCTCAGCAAACGATTGATCCAGAAAAGGACTTTATTTTGACACAATCAGGCTATCCGCAGAATGGTCTAAAGAAGCTCTAGGATGTTCGCTGAAGTTTATAATAGACCAGGTCTATTATAAACTTCAGCGAACATCCTAGAGCTTCTCTAGACCATTCTGCGGATAGCCTGATTGTGTCAAAATAACGTCCTTTTCTGTTCGCTGCCAATTTAGGAGCATTCTTGGTACTATAGGCTGAAAATTTTGTAGTATCAATCCCGCTCTTACTTATCATTTTTATCCAGCGAATCAGAGTGTCGAAATTCCTTTATAGGGTTTGTTGATAGAAATAAAAAGGTTCCTTCCGGGAAATCTTGCCGTGGTCTGTAGGAATTAACGTTTCGTCACTGTTAGTTTTTATTTATTTATTCATTTATTTACGTATAAGAAAAATACATTTGAAGTTGAACAGAGTTTAAATCTAAAAAAAAAAAAATCTAACCTAAAACAATTCTCCTGGCCTTCGTCTTAAATTTATCCAGAGATAAACCAAAGAACTCAAGGCCCTCACAGAACTTATTTACATTGGCAGATATTCTATTCACAGGACTGAATAGTAGGTACCAGGTTCGACAGTAAGGAATGTGCAGTAAAGATTTACTTCGTGTCTGATAACTTTGAATGTGTAGATTAAAACATTCAAGACATTCGTGGCTTTTTATGTAGTAGTTAAGAATTTTAAATGCAAAACAGACATCAAAATATTCCCTTTTGCGAACAAGAGTAGATAAGTCTAAATAAGTCATAGTCAGGTCCTCACTGAGAATTACACCACTCAAAGAAAGTTTGTACCTTGCAAACTTAATAAATTTGTGTTGTACACTCTCAAGCCTATTGATGTGGATCTGATAGTAAGGTGACCAAACTATGCATGAAAATTCAAGAACGGACCTGACCAGTGATGTGTAAAGAATTTTGATAGGGCGTATACTTGTAAAGTCCCTAGTAGCTCTCTTAATAAACCCCAACATTTTATTAGCCCTGCCAATTACCACTTCAAAATGCTCAATGAACATTAGCCTAGTATCTAGATAGACACCAAGATCTTTAATGATAGAAACTTCAGACAAGCGAACATTGTTTAAGTAATACTGCAAGGGAACACTATGGGTGCGTCTACTGAATCTTATACAACAGCACTTATCGATGTTGAGGGACATGTAATTAAGCTGACACCAATCGTGAACGATGTTAAGATCATTTTGCAAAATAAGTATGTCTTGAGTTGACGTCACCTGACGATACAACTTCAAGTCATCAGCAAAAAGTAAAAAATTTGACGAGAGCAACGATCCTAAATCGTTGATAAATAAGCTGAATAGAAGGGGGCCCAAGTGAGAACCTTGGGGTACCCCAGAGGATGCATGGAAAAGAGAAGAAAGATAGCCATCGATCTTGACTTGTTGCATTCTGTTAGTAAGGTATGATTTCATCCATGAAAATAAATGTCCAGAAACGCCGAAACTTGAAAGCTTTGAAAGAAGGATGTTGTGATTTACCTTATCAAAGGCTTTACTGAAGTCAGTATATATTGCATGAGTTTCTGCATTATTAGCAAATGATGAATTTATGAATGTTGTAAAGAGAAACAGGTTCGTCTCAACGGATCTACCGGCTGTAAAACCGTGCTGTTGACTGATCTCAATCTGATGAAATATTTTTGAAAGAATTCCTTCCACGCACTGCTCAAATAATTTTGGAATCGCAGACAGAATGCTGATGGGTCTGTAATTTATTACATCATTTTTGCTGCCTGACTTGTAAATAGGACAAACGTAGGAGAGCTTCCACATTTCTGGAAAAATTCCAGAAGATAATGATTTGTTGAAAATATTAAACAGAGGAAGATACAAAGTGTTAGAACAAGATTTTAGTACTTTGTTGGGAATACCATCAGGTCCTGCAGACTTGTTGATGTCCAATTGCGTTAAAGCCCTCTCAATATCTGTTGGATCTATGACAATGCTTGAAACATTCTCAAATCGATCAGCAAAGGTTCCAGCGTCGGAATTTCTCTGAGGGTTATAGACGGAGGAGAAATAGACAGCAAAAAGATTAGCTATGTCAACACCGTTGGACGCCTTTTC